TCGGACGACCTGGGATCCGAGCGTGATCTCACCCAAGATTTTGCACACCCTGCCCGAGCAGGGCCGTGGACCGGCGGGCGCTGCCGTGCAGCATCCGCGTTGGCTGGCGCCGAAGCTGGCCGGCGGCAGACCGCCGTGTCCGCGTTGCCGCCGCAGCTGCCCGCCTCGGCGCGTGGCGATTGCGCTCGAGGATCAGGACGACCGTCGGTGCATGAGCGATGCCCCGCCTCTCTTCCTCCGTCTTCTTCCTCCCTCTTCTCCTCATTCCTCCTTCCCTGCGGTTCCCATCCAGGGGCGCCTTGGGGTGGAGGGCTGCAAATGTCAGTTCCAATTGGGCCGGTTCGTCTTTGGGGCCTCTTTCGCCTGTCTCGGGGCTTGTTGTCTGAAGATGGGTGTGTTTTGGCCGTATCAGTGCAGCTAGAAACGCAGTGCATAAACAGCTGGAGAGGAAAGACATCATGATAGATGTTCTGGCCATTTCTCTCCGTGATTTCAGGTGATCCTTTTTTTGAGCTATCAGCGACAACACGTTATCTGATGTTTGCCCCGGTGATTTCCCGATATAATCAGCTGAGTGTGCGAGGTCGAGACGACGTCATTCATATTGCTCGGCTCCGCGGAGCTTACGTGCGGAGAGGAATAGCAATCTGGGCAATCTCCATATCATTGACACTGGTAGTGGAGCAGTCAAAGAAGGACGGCCCATGCTGAACTGGTTCGTATATTTTCTTGTTTTGTTCAAGACGTGGTCCTTGCGGGCAGTCAATTACTATTGTTGGGTTGAGAGTGTATCCTGTGTTCGTGTGCGTGACGATTTCGATTTACTTGATTTCGAGTCTACGCAGAAGAACGATTCCGTCGAGAGCAGTTCAGATTCTACTATGGCTTGGCTAACCATCGAGATGGAGGCAATTCACACGTGTGGTTTGATCAAGCTTGCATTCTTTGTTTTGATGGAGATGCAGCAGCAGCGGCACCATGGGATCAGAGAGTGCGGCTCGGATTCTTGGACAGGGACAGTATCGACAAGAAGGAGGGGTTTCATTGCCAAGGTCAATGTTGGCCTCAGTGGTCGAGCGTGGACGCTGTGTCACAAGGGCGAGAAGATCAGCGTCCCAGCGTTGGCCGAACAGTTTCAGAAGGGGAACATTCTGGCGAAGAAAGAAGTAGCTGTCGGCCAGGCCCTCGACATCCTCATCAAGTGTGCACGTTCACAGGTGGAGAAAGTGCCCCCTCCGCAAAAGCACAAAGGGTTTTTGGATTACTCCAGGCGTCGACTCCGGAAACCAGGGGGGCCGATGCACTTACTTTATCCAACGACGAAAGGATGCATGCGAGAAGCTGAGAGCCGTCACGAATGGCCAAACGCAGGTGTCGGAGGATCTCAAAGCGTTTTCTTGCTAGACATGCGCGGCATCATTGAGGCTCAGCGCGCGACGTTTCTGAGCCAGGCTCAGAATGAGTACGACGGGTGCGATGTGCGACATCCTCGAGATCCAGCTAGACAGCATCGACGCTCGAAGTGGCAGAGATCACAAGCGAGATGGTGGAGGGCGACGGTTCAGGTGGAACGCGGCTTTCGGCGCGGATCCTGAGGGGGGGATCGAGGAAAACGAAGCCGAGGAGGATCGCGGAGGAGGAAATTGTTTCCCGTACCCCCCCCTTGGCTCAAGCCAATTGGTGGGCTTGCCTTCTCTGGGGCAGTCTCCCGCCGCTCAAGGGGGCGCCCGCGCGCTGCGCAGCGGGCCCGCCGCCCTGGGCCCCCGGCTTCCCCGGGCCGCGCCGCGCCATGGGTCGCGGCAGTGCTGCTGCCCCCGGCCCGCGGCTCAGCCTGGGCCGCCAGGCAGCAGGCAGCGACCCTGGGCGGGAAGATAGAGGGCGGGGAAGCCGATCGATCTGGCATTCTCGAAGGGGGCGTGGGCCGATCAGTGCAGAGGTTGGGGGCCCAAGCACTGGCCCATGTCGACCACCCCCCCGGGCCCCGGCCAGACCCGGGCCCCCCCTGGGCAGCCCCCCCCCCCGCCCACGGGATAGACCAGGATCCAGTTCTGATGGCGACGATGAGGCCGCAACTCAGAGGGGCCGTTAGCCGCGACCCGGGACCCCCGCGGGGAACATCAGAGATGACGGTCGCGAGGCAGAGCCTCGACGAAGACTGCCCGTCGGCATCTCGCGCGAACGACGGCCGCCCCCCTGGTGAGCAGATGCCGATGACACTCCAGACGGCAGTGAGCCGTCGCCCTGGACATATTGAAAGAGGATCAAGAGCGGCCGCTAGCCGCGTCCCTGGTACTTCCCACCTGAGCAGATCTGCCGGGCAGGCCGCTAATAGGGGCAGAGGCAGCCCGCCGAGAGACAACTCGGGGGGGGCCCGATCTCCAAGAAGACGCTGCCCCCGACGGAGACAGCGTGCAGGATCCTGGATGCCTTGGGCCCGCGCGCCGCCGCCCTCCCGCCCCCCTCGCCGACCCTCCGCAGCCCCCCCCCCCATCGGCGGCAGTCGCCCCGATGGGGGCAGGTGGATTTGAGAGGGGAGAGAGAGAGAGAGAGAGAGAGAGAGAGAGAGAGAGAGAGAGAGAGAGAGAAGAGAGAGAGAGAGAGAGAGAGAGAGAGAGAGAGAGAGAGAGAGAGAGAGAGAGAGAGAGAGAGAGAGAGAAAAAGAGAGAAAAATAGAGAGAGAGATAGCATAATCAGGGTGGTGCCAGACGCGCCCCCGTGACCCCTGCGCCCCCAAGCGAGCGGGCGGCGAACGGCCAGGGCGGGGGGGCGGAGCCAGCCCCGAAGCAGACAGAGACCAGTGCGAGAAGTCCCGCGGGGCTCAGAGGAGCGCGCGAGGAGCTCGACGAGGCGCCCCGGGCGACAGGATAACCGACGGCCAACGGCTGCGGACAGGGAGTGCCGCGGGGGCACGCCAATGGTGACGGGGCTCGATCCAGTGGCCAGACAGCGTTCAGCTGCACCCCTGGCAACCCCACTGTCGCCGAGGGGCTGTTCGGTAACGGCCTGGGGCGGGGCAGCCCAGCGGAAGGGGCGGCGAGCGGTGCCCTCGACCGTGGAGCGGTGCTGAGACCCCCAGGGATGGGCAGCCCCACGTCTGGGGGAGCGGCCAGCGCGGACCGCCCCGACCTCGACGGGCTGGGGGAAGCAGATGAGGGCGCGCCAGTAGCCGCGCGGACAGCTCCTGGCACCAGTGAGTTCGGGGGCCCCCAGGAGGGGCTGAGGCCGTCGGGCAGACCCAGTCGCAGACGCGTGCCGTCCCCGACACTATCTCGCGCGCCCTCCCCTTCCACCCGGTAGGGCCAGAAGGGTCGCCGCGGCCCGAGGAGGGCCCCAGGAACGAGGGGCGACCCGAGGAAGGAGATCCGAGCGCCGGTGCCCCCGACAGCGGCATCAGTGCCGCCGGGCAGGAGCCGTTCGCGATCGCCGCTCGATCTGATCCCGCGCCCCAGGATCTGCCGATCAACCCTTTCCTGGCCTCCCCGCTCCGCCGCCCTCCACCCCTGGCTCAAGCCGTTGCGGGCGAGGAGGGTGCCGACCCTGCTCGTCCCCAGACAGCGCCAGATATAGGCAGGACGACTCGGAGATCTCCGACGTGGAACAGGAGCCCCTTAGGCACGGACTCCGCCATGCCAGGCTACTGGAGCCACCCACCGGGAGCGGGAGTCGGGAAGCCGACGGGCCCCGCTACGGATTGCGGGTAGCAGGCCCCGGGCGTACTGGCCGAGGAGGAACGCTCGACGCACTAGCAGCCCAGCTCGAGCCCCGTGAAGGTCCCTGGAGAGAACTGGCGTCCGTGGATGGGATGCGCGCCGCAGAAATGCGCATCGGGCTAGGCGCCCTTGTGCATTTCTGCTGGAGCCGCCACCCCCCAGGGCACCCTGGGCTGGACCCATGGCCCCGGCCGTTGGGCGACGTGCCCAATCCGCTGAGGGCCTCGCCGGAACGAGGTGAGGGTCGAGGGCGCGATCTCAGTGCCGACCGCCAATGCTGCGCCCTGGGACCAGCGTTGGCGCAGCTCGACCTATTATGGTTAGTCTGGTCCATAACTGGGGCCGACCACGAAGCCAGACTAGGTGGGGCAGGACCGGGCCCAGTCCAGGTCCTGGCCTTCCTCTACGCCAGTATCACGCAGGACCCCGCCATCGAGGCCGAAAGACTAGACTGCGAGAATCCCACCGACGCGGAGATGTTTGCGGCGCACCTTGAATACGATGCACTACAATGCGCAGCACACTTTACGGACATCGGCCTGGCAGACACCATGGACGACCTCCTCCCGAACGCCGTCCTCGCACCCACAAGATGGAGACACGGCGCCGTCCCAGACAGACGGGACATGGCTCGAGATCTCGACCGCAGATTCAAAATCTGCCGCTGCCTCGTCCACGAGCACCGACAGTTCAGGGTCCACTTCCCGGACCATAGCGAGGTAAAAAGATGGGCCATAGACAGAGGGAGCTGGATCGACTCAGGCGACGACGTCCTATCGGAATGACAGTGCGGCACAGGGTCCCTCGGATGGGCCGCGCCAGCCATGCCGGGTGCGGGGGCGCGCGCCCCGGGCATGCCAGGGGTAATGGTGCGCGGCAGTGAAGAACCCGAGGAACCCTGGCCTCTGAACACCACGTCCCGCAGAATAATGTTCGGGGGCTTCTTCCTCCCCTCCTCGAGGTGCGGCTATTGCGGCTCGTGGCTCATGCGGGGCCCTTGCGAACCCATGTGCGTTGCGTGCCGCAGGCTAGCCGCGCCGTGGTGTCTAGCAGCCGACGGAATCTATCCCGGCATTTTCATGGCCCCAGGGCGCCCCCTCGATGCGCTCGGACCGCAGCTTTCGTTCCAGTTGACCAGGGTAGGGGCCAGGTACGCGCCCATAGCCAGCCGCATTTGCCCGTCGCACCTCCTGCCAGGCTCTTTGCCGAGCTGTTGGCTGCGTGGCGCCGCATGACGGACAGCCCGAACGACTTGTGGCGCGGATCGGCAGACAGGGCAGATGTGAGTCTCGGCGACGAACCGATTCTCAGAGCCACTGTAGGGGCGCTAACCAGGCTCTGCGGTGCGCCGCACGACTGGGCACTAGAAGCATCGGCGCAAATCCGGGACCGCATCCTGGAAACCACGGTGAACGGTCAGCTACGGGACTGGGTCCCCGGATGCCGCGCACAGCTGCCCCAGATTGCAGTGCCGGCGCGCTTCCTT